ACACACACTTTCAGCCGTGTTATAAAGTGTCGGTGTATGCCAATGCACTCCACGCCAAAGCTGTCTTTATACCGATAGAATCAGACATCACTCAGAGTTCCGAATGGCTACCTGCAGTTTTTACAAAGAAACCGGGACGCCCCAAGACGAAGCGCATAAGAAGTGTTGGAGAAAACGGGAATAGATCTTCACAGAGTTGCTCAAGTTGCCATCGGAAAGGCCACAACAAGCGTTCATGCACGCAATCGGATGGCACATAGCACATTCAAAAAGAGTGTCCCTCAGTCGCTATAGAGCAACAAAAAGGTCAATTTTGTGTTTTTTTTGTTTTGTTTGAGCATTTAGAAGGTCACTCAACTCCGGGTTTTTATTAGTGTCCCTCATTCGCGATCGAGCAATAATGAAGTCACTTTCATGTTTTTTTGTTTTGTTTGTGCATTTAGAAAGCTACTCAATTCCGGGTTTTTGCGTTATAGTAACCCTTAAGAAGAATCGTCACTGCTAATGATAGATTCACCACAGCATCCATCCGCACCACACTGGCATTTAAACCATAATTCATCGCCATAATCAACAGTGACCTCGCTTCCAGCTTGAATATCCTCCATCGTAGCGACAACCACCGTGACGAAGCGGCGGTTTTGAACCTCGTAAAATCGGCAATTTGCCGCACAGGAATGATTCATGAACCGCGTAATGTTTCCCTTGAATTTCGCCTCGATCCACAAGTTCTCCTTGCGCGACGACCGCGCGGCCAAACCGATGGTGTAGTTGCTGGTTCTTTTCTTGTCCTTACGGTAGTCGTGTGTTGTCAACACACCAGCGTACTCAGCAACAATACTTCCACTTTCAATATCCTCAGACGTGAAAACAGAGTATCCAATATTTCCACGCACTAGGTGCAGGCCACTCACAGTTCTCAGTCGATTGCCACAGTCAGATCCGTCGAGGCAGTTATTCCGAGCACAAAATATGCTACCCAGTGCATTTGGGCAACCATCCGGTCGGCAAATTTTGTCGCAGCCACACCAATCCATCGGCCCTAAATCGGGTACCAAAATGTTGTTTGGGTTCTCGGTATTGGTTATCTCCATTACATCAGAAGGCCATGCAACTACGTCATTATTTCTGTAGGAGCAAAATGCTCGCTTTCTCATTTTCGCCCGTCTCAGAAGCTCCGTGAGAACGTTCGCTAGACCTGCTGTCGTTTTCGTCGCTGGACTCGTCCAAATAAATTATATCTGGTGTGACAGTCCAGTACACATTGTCGATTTCATCGTGACATCCGGTGTCAACGTCGTTGCATTCAGTTATGTCATGGCTGCTTATGTCACCACTCTCCATTAAACTGATAATCTCACGAGGCGAAATAGGCGGAGCGCAATACTCTTCGCGATATTCATTTGGCGGATGTGCTGTATTAGAGCCGCAATCACTAGCTTCATCACTCACTCTCTCTGTTTCTTCATTGTCGCTAGTATCATACAAAACAATCACTTCCGGAAGGTTAGCAATATCTTTGCTAACAGAGCCTACTTCACCATGCTCTGGGGGTAAAATACCCTCTCCTGCCTCCTTAGTCAAATCGACCAGGTCCGTAATGAAAGAAAGTGCTTCGACTTCACATCGGCTCTCCGCCCCAGTCTTCCCTACACGCGAAATACACGGGCCTCTGTAGCATGGCCCCCTCCAGAAGGAGGCAAACTCGCCTAGCGGCGCCGTTTTCATCACTCCACAGCGGTAAGCCCGCTTAGAATCTCGGACTGGGGCCCGCCTCTTCATGTACCGCTGTTTCCTGCTCTTCGCCTTGAAATACCCAACTTTAGATGAATACGCAACGCTTGAGATGCGCTCTTGCTCTGCGTACAACGGCGCAGTTCTCTTCGACAGCGCCGCAGCTCGCGCCATCTCGGCGTCCCTCACTTGCTGAATTGTGATTGTCCTCGTAAATGGGCCGAGTCTTCTGTGCTGAACAATGGGTTTCGCCCTTTTTATCCCCAAAACTTGTGACAGTACGTGTGCTCGGTTCAAACCTGCCGGTGACCATCACTCTGACTGGTTCTGTAACCGCTTTTGACAAACGTTTGCCCAATTGATACACGTTCTGACGTTTTCCCAAAAGTTTTCCAGGCAATGTGAAAAAAGGAGATGAGAGGCAAAAAAAAGTCACCGTCTCAGACAAAAATAGTACTATTCCCAACCTGAGCAAATTTGCTCATCTCCTGTCCCAACCAATGTGAGGGCGCCAAATTTAGGCGCCAAAACGAATCCATAGCACAAGTTCATGTACTGCTGACACAAAGACAACAAGTGGCTCACAGATACGTTGTTGGAACTGACGCAGGGGTAAAATATTCTCATTCCTCAATTCGACTTTAGCAATGCCTTCTCCCACCGTCAACACAAACTCTCTGCGCGATCACGCTCGAGAGCAAGCCAAGCAGCGCGTCCTTCGTGTCTTACGCGAAGGTGGTGATTGGAAACTTGCTGCAATCCACAACGACATACCCTATAATACTGCTCGCCGTGCTATCCTGAACAGCGCTGCGACGGCCAAGCCGCGAGGTGGGGTCCGTCAGGCTTGTGTGAAAATGACGGCTGAAGTGATGGCAAAGATCGAGGAGTATATTGATGAGGATTGCAGGGCTACTTTGACTAACTTATGTGACAGACTGCGTAGCGACTTAGGTGTTGTTGTAGGCAAGTCATCCGTTAATCGTGCTCTCCAAGGCATGCTTTATAGCACTAAGAAGATACGCATTGAGAAGTCCACAATGAACAGCTCCGATAACAAGATCAAGCGCAAAGCGTTCGTAGAGAAGCTCGACGACCATGTTGCTAAGGAAAACATGATCGTCTATCAAGACGAAACCAATTTCAATCTCTATTTGTCACGGTCACAGGGCTGGTCCCGTATCGGCGACAGAGCCGTCGTACAGCTTCCACCGTCGCAGGGGAAAAACCTGCACGTACAAGGTGGCGTTTCAGCGCTTACGGGGCTGGTGCTACTGCGAACGCACGAAGGCTCCATAACCAAGGAAGAGAACGCCCGCTTCATTGCCGATCTCTTCGTCGCAGCGCTGCGAACTGAGGAGTATCGAGAACTACCTGCCGACAACAAGATCGTCATTGTGACGGACAACGCGCCAGCACACAGCAGCGTCGAAGATTTAGCCCGCCAGTTGCTTGTATCCGATGGCATCCTAAACGGCCACCAACTTGAGATTCTGCGGCTCGGTCCTTACAGCCCAATGCTAAACCCCATTGAGGGGTGCTGGAACGTCCTCAAGTCCAAGATGCGCCTCTTCATGGCGTCAAAGAAGGATGCTATGCTTGTGCGAGGTGAGTACAGTACTTACACAGCGCAACGACTAGCTATCATGAAGGAGGCAGTTGATATGGCGATGCCGTCGATTACGCGGCGCCTCGTGTGGTGACTCGAGCGGCATGCGGCTAAACTTGGCTGCACTGCTAAACGCGGCGACAACATGCAGCTGGGAAAGTAAAATTTTCACTTTGCCTGGGACGCGTGATGGGCAAATGTCCAGCTGCTGGGAAACATGCACTTTTCTTTTCTTAAAACCTCATTCTAGGTTTTTTCGATTAAAACCTCATTTTCATAATGCCTGAAAAACTTTTCAGTCAGCCCGGGAAATGGTGTATAACTGCGGGCTATTCATTTGCTTGTACTTCTGGCACCGGTTCTGGAAGGGAGCAGGCAGCGATTACACGACGAAAAGATTACTACGCCTCCGATGAGATATCCTGCGTTCCGTCATTGATGCTGGATTTCAGCGAGTACACTGTACACAAGTCGAACAAGCATCTCAAGATGGTGACTGTAGCATTGTAGTCTAGGAGGTTTTCGTCCAGACCAGCCAAGGCATTGGTTGGTCAAGGTTTTCCCTCACCACAGAACATCTTAACTCGCGCACAATTCAACCTGCCTTTAAACGAATCAACAGGTTATCAGCTCAAGCTTTATCTGTGCTCAACGTGTTGCCGTTGAAGTGTTGCGGCCATGATGAAATGGAACACCGAGAAAAACTTTGACGGAACCAACTACACTGCGTGAAAGACGCGTGTGCGCGCCGTGATGCCGGCAAACGATCTTTGGGCCATCGTAACGCTAGAAGAGCGGCCGTCACGCAATGGCTCAAAGCGTGACGTAGACAACTTTTGGCACCAAGAACGAAAAGCTAAATCCTTCTTGCTCGAGACACTGACCGACGATCTTGTGGTTAGTGTAGGTGCCAAACAATACGCTTATCAAGTGCTAGAGTACTTAGAGCAAACCTACGAGGCGAAGAATTGGAGAAACCTAGTGGCTTTGCGCGTAAAGTTCGTCTCGCTGAGGCATGAAGACGGACAGGCAATGACAACGCATCTTAACAATCTAAAAACCCTGGCTGACAAGCTAGCTCGCCAAAAGAAACCCGTTGATGACCAAGAGCGCGTGTGTCAACTCGTGACAAGCTTACCTGAGTCCTGGTCGCACTTTAAAAGTGTATACTTCACGCAGGACCGCCCATTGCCATGGTCGACAACGGAGGGGAATGTTATGGCGGACTCTTCTAGTCGCCAAGCCCAAACGCAACCGTCTCCCGTAATCGAACAGGAAACGGCTGTACCCGCTGTGACCAAGAACGAGGTGTACATGACGGTAGAGACCCTATTAGCAGCACGCCAAAACCACCTTATCTCGAGACGGCCCCAGTCTCATCGACCGACGCCATACCACTCGCGGTCGAGTAACGGACAAACGTGCTTATATTGCGGTAAGGGAGGCCACCAAAAGCAAGTCTGTCGGTTGCGCATTCGTCATCTTCAAGAACGTGCTGACACTGATGAGCAACAAGCCTCTACAGGGCATGCATCAACAGCTGTGGATTAAAACGTTTGAAGCGGACGTTTCCGGAATTCAAGCTGTGAAAGAGCAGAACGGAGCTGTTCCGGTCGCGTGATGGCTTTCCTTACGTGAATAGTTTGTCGAGACTTCGCTTAA